ATGACATAGATTATGTTTTAGCCAAACTTTCACTTTCGTAATATTCAGCTTATTTGTAGTCACGTGATGTTGTGATATCATATCACGATCTATGCATAATGATATTGATATCAAATAAAGTTCGCCCGATTCTGGGTTATATTTTTTTGTTTACTAATTAAATAGTTGGACACACTCTCGTAACTAATAAACGGGCTTTAGGTTCACCCTCCCCTAGGGGAAGAAAAAAAATTTATGTAAAGTGCTTATGATATACAGGTTTATTGAGTAGGATAGCATCTAATTAAGTGCAGATTTTCATCCCGCTATTTGTATACTTTTCTTCCTCGCGAAAAGCGTCAGCCATCCAATAAATGCATCCACTATTTTATTCTCAGACTAATTTTTGTTATGGTATCTGTAAAATGCATTCCTTCAAGGCATCATAATCCAAGTTTTCACAGGAAACACGCATCTTCCCCCAGAGATCATCCGAAAACACTTTCTCCCAAAACCCAAGGACACCCGAGGGATCACTGAGATCAATCATAGTCGCAAGTACTTCTTTGTGATGCAAGTGAAGATAGAGTGATTGAACGAGCATAAAGAGATCATCTTGGGGTTGAATAAAAATTGGAGACTTTGATTTCATCAATCGTAATGAGCGAAAGGGCAATTTTGGACCACAGTAATTCCACTGCTGAATTTACAGAGTTACGAGTTTATAAAATAATGTTGAAATCATACTTGGTAAGCATTGATAAAACTCACCTCTCCTATGATCGAACCACACCCAAAATCAACTAATATGAGTCGGTCTTTATCCACAAGGATATTGGTCAGTCGCACATCTCCATGTACTATATGGATTCGGTGGCATAGATAGAGCGCATCCACAATTTCCACAAGAGATGATACATGACATGGACTTTCTTTGAACGATTCACCTGCGCGTGGTTGTAATAACATCGCATTCGTGGACGAATCGACCAGCTCTATAACACCAGAAATTTGACCCAATTTTTTTAATATTCTGATCTCATTATCTAACAGATCGGGTTGATTCACAAGTTTGACAACTGCATTTTCATTGTCGACGACGCTAAATATAGTAGAGGTGGGCGTATATGCAATCATGTCATCCAAATCCACATTTAGACCTAAAAGCCACAAATTAAAAATGTATGTTTGCAGAGATGCAGATACAGGGTGGTGTAAAGTATGCAAAATACCTGTGGTTGGGTGGTACTGTATTGTACTAAGAAGCCCTCGTAGATACCGGGTGGTGATTTGGTTACTCAAGCTCATCTGACTGGAATAAGATACACTGTACGGCCGGTCATTCACTTCCCTGGAAACTTTCACTTCCCTGGAAACTTCAATAAACATTATGTGATGACAATCCGTCAAGAATCCCGTGATCTGATTCCGGTTCTTCTGATGGTTCAAAATGAGTATGGCATACCGTAGGACTTGCTCTTGATAGGTGTTTGTGAAGCAATTTCCTCGACATTTTATCTCGCCTATAGCCTCTACTGTATGCGAAGTTAAAGAATAACCCTTAGTATGAGTGGCGCTATCGGGAGCTTTTCCGTCGAGGAACTTTAACTGATGGCTGTCCACAGCTTTAACAGATCCGTCACCATCTAGCTGTGTTAGTATTTTCTTTGTAAACCAATCTTGATAGTCTTGTTCGACTTTACTTGTCGGTGGTTGGTCGAACATGAGTGGTTCTGTTGCGGGTCCAAACCATGGTATTTGACGGTGTGTTGGATTCATTTGTTCCCATATTCTAGCGAGGCCGTGGGTTGTTGCGTACAAAATACTTTCATAACAAGATATTGAGGCTTTGTATTCAAGATCAAGACGAAGCCTTTTTTCCCGTTCCAATAATAATTCAGTTTCCGCCCTTGATAATTCAGTTTCCACCCTTTTACGCTTTTCTGTTTCAATCTGTAGTTGTAGAGCTAAATGAAACAATAAGAAATGTAAAAACCATTTTACCTTAATATAACAGCAACAGGGCAGAATAGCTTACCTTGGGTGGCAGGAGCTATGTAATAATTAATGTAAAAAGCACAAGTTAGTCAACGTGACAAATATTATACCAAACGTTCCCTTAAACAAGTATCCCGCCGTGATACCATCTTTGAATTGTCAACCATCTCTTTTTACCAATTTTTGATCGCGAAATCAATAGATGATTGCATTATTCACTAATTACCTTGCTCTTCGCCTGTAATCGAGCCAATCAACCCTGCGATTGTTTCTGCCGGACCACCAGGAAGATTGTAAGGTGGGGATATAAGTTTTTCTGCAGTTAAACGAACGAAGGCTTGACCGGAAACCTCTTGGTCTTCGATGAGTTTGATGTGCTTCTTATTAATAAATAGCTCGTCTTTCTTTTTTTCAAGAAATTCAAGAACTTGTTGCGGACTCCACTTCTTGATTTCTTCAGCACTTGGCGTAATAACCTCAGTAATTTCAACGTCCTCCATGGAAACTATTATTTTTGCCAAAGATAATGAGCAGTTCCTCTATAAACAATACCTGCAATAAAAAAAATTACCAACAGACTGATCCCTTTGCCAGGGAATTTTCTGGGAGGTTTGCGCTTTCTCTGATGTACCAGTATCTGGTCGAACGTTTTCTTCTTTTTTAGACGCATCAGCATCTGATGCTTTGCTACCTATTTTTTCACCAATGATAATAAGTAATTTATCACAAATAATACTCATAATACGTTCACTTTTACCTGTAGACTGGCTAGTAGAAG